TTTGGGGGGGCGGCTGACAACACCTGCCGATGGATTGGCTGGGGGCGGGGAATTGCCATGATGCCTGCGTGTGCAGGAGGAGGGGTGGAGCGGGGACAGCTCCCCGTTGCCAGGACACTGCAGCACCCCCTGCCCCGACAGGTCAGGGATGCGGCCGGACCCCCCCGACTGGAGCTCAGGGGAGACATGCTGCCCAAGACGGAAAACTGAGAGTCGTCAGCAGACTGATTTAGTCAGGGACACGGGAGGGGAGGAGAGGCCCCAGGCGGGTGCCGGGCCCCCCACAGGAGGGAGGGTCTCGAGGTGGGCGCCGCCTCCCCCAAGGCCACGGCCCCAGGGAGAAGGGAGGGGGTAGAGAAAGGGGAAGAACAGTGCCCTGTTTTCCCTTTCACGGCCCCACCACAGGGCCTTTGCCCGCACTGTGCCCTCTGCCCGCATCTGCCCCGCCCACCTGCCGAGAAATGGGCGCAGGGCCCTAAGAACCCTGCAGAAGCAGGACGGGAATCCAGACCTCCACCCCGATGGGAACCCCACCGCGGGGCCCAGGGTCAGGACGCAGGCCCGCGAGGGTCCCTCCCTTGCTCACCGCACCCCTGGCCCCCGTGGAGATGACAGGGCCGCGCCTGAGGGAAGGTCGGTGGGCACGCTGGGCGACAGCTGGAGCGGCCCCGTGGGGTGCCGTAGGCCAGCTGCGCTCCCATCCGGGGGGGTCACTGTGGCTCGGGTGCCCTGGGACAGGCGAGGGACGCGGGTGCGGCGCTCCCCAGAGGTCACGAGGCGCTGAACAACTCAGTGTCCCCAGCCCCTCTGCATCGGGCAGCTGGGCCCCCGCCGGGCGCACCTCTGGTTGCCCGAGTCCTTCCTTCCTGGTTTTGCCCTCATCCGTGTTCTGTGGCAGCTATTTTGTAAGAATTCTCTCCAACGGAAAAACAGCCTAAGAAATGTACAAAGTCCATGTTCGCATCTTGCCTGAACCGCAGGGCCTCACCCCGAGGTGTGTGCAGGCGCCGTGCCCCCCCGCCCTTCCTGCGCCACCTGCTCAGCCCCCTTGCCCCTCCGTGGGGCCTCTGATGGAACATCCCTCTCTTGGTAAACTGGATCTTGCAATCCCCTCGACACACCCACCGTCCCTTCCCTGGAGTTTTGTCCGACTGGAGGGGGGAGTATTCATCGAGCTTCTTTCTTATTCGTCGGCTCCAGGAAGGAGAGCTCTCTGTCGCATGTGCCCGGTGTCCCCAGAACCCAGAGAACACGCTGCACGTGGCAGGTGTTTGTTGACTGACTAGTGGACCGAAGCGGAGAATGAGGGGAAGCCGCATTACCGTATCTCTGCGGAGAATGAGGGGAAGCCGCATTACCGTATCTCTGAGGTGATGGAAGTAGGTCCAGTGTTATACTCAATAAGAACCGTTCCAAAATACCCCTGAAACGAACAGACCATCACTTGTCAACTATACTCAATTAAATAATTTCTTTTAAAAAGTCCAGCAGAAGCAGAGCGGTGTTTCGGATTATGGCCGGGCATGCTGCCAGCCCCACCCCCCGAGAGGTGCTGGTGCGACTTGGTGTCCCCACTGGGAAGGGAGGGCGATGGCAGGGTGCCACCCGTGCGGTGGTCAGGGGGTCCAGGTGGATCCCCTGCCCCAGGGCCTGCCATGTGGGTGATGGTGCTGGTGGCATTCACGGCCCAACCACCAGGGAGACCGGCGATAAGCAAGGGTTTCGATAGCATTTAGAGAGACTAGGATGGGGGCGCCCGGCTGGCTCAGTCGGGGGAGCGTGTGAGTCTTGATCTTGGGGTCGTGAGTTCGAGCCCCACGTTGGGTATAGAGCTTACTTTTAAAAAGAGAGAGCGAGAGAAATAGACTAGGATGGGGACTGGAGTAGAGAGTCACAGGGATGTGACACTGGGGATGAAACCCAAATAAAGTCAGGGAGAGAGCCATGCAGGGAAGGTGTTCCAGCAAAGGGAACATCATGTGCAAAGGCCCTGGGGCAGGACCGGGCCTGGCGTGTGGGAGGAACAGCCAGGAGGCTCCGGGTGGCTGGAGCAGAGTAGATGAGGGGGAGAGAGGGAGGAGGGGAGGGCAGGAGAGGATGGGGCAGATCGTGCTGAGGCTTGGGGGCCTAATTATATTCTAGAGGGGGGTGCAATTCTCTGCTGCAGAAAGAACAGACCAGGCAAGGGGCTGAATGGTACCACCCATTCCCTCCTTGGGGCAAAGCCAGAGAGGCCCCAGCTCCCCCTGAATCAGGCTGTAGAGGCCCTGTCGCCAGTTCATGGGGCGAGGACAGTTACCCCTGGACCACAGGGAACAGCACAGGCTGGGCCAGGGACCTGGGAGTAACGTCAGAGTCAGGGGCAAGTTTAAGGTAGGAAGTTGCCAGACGTGTGAGATGGGCAGCTGAACAGGGGACCGTCGTTCCAGTTCTCTTGTCCTCCCCTGGGACCCAGCCTCCCCACGCAGGGCAACAACATGGGCAGAATGACCTAGAAAAACAGCCTCAGCAGGAAGTTTGCCTTGGGGAAGGGCTGTGTCCCTGCGATGCCCAGGTCAGAATTAAGGACAGCTGGCACAGCCAGCCGGCTCCCACTCCCTCGCACAGCCTCCCTCCTGTTCCCAGCTGGAGGCCCGCTGATCCTTGGTTTCCACGTGCTGTGAGCAACTCCCTTCCCACCACTCCTGGGGCTGTTCCGTGTGCTACGGGAATTCCCAGGCATTTGGGGGGGGGCATCTAGAATTCAGTTTGGTGTTTCGTTTCATTTTATTTTGCCATAAATAGGATCGTGCTGTCTGTAGCAGTCTGGCTACCCGGATGTTTTTAACCCCCATCTAACTGTGTCTCAGCTGTCTTCCCTTGGCTGGTACATTCACATCTCCCAGATTTCCACAATAACCACGGATTATTTGATCCCCTGTTGATGAACACTTAGGTTAGTTCCGTTTTTCCTCCATATAACTAGATCTCAGCTATCTTCTTCTGATGCATGGGAATCTCGATTCCACAGCAGACACGGACCGTAATTTTACCAATCCTCTGCTGATGGACACGTAGCTTAGTACTAGGGGTGGGGTTTTTTTGCCGTTTCCAATGACACTTTAGCAAACTCAGGTGTCCGCAGTGCCGTGCTCCCTCTCAGGTCTCTAGGGGGGATCCTTCCTTGCGTCTTCCAGCTCCTGGTGGTTCCTGGTGATCCTCAGTGTCCCGTGGCTCACAGCTGCACCCTCAGACCCACTGTCTCGTGGCCTCTGCTCTGTGCGTCTGCGTCCACGTCTCCCCTTTGTATCAGAACACCAGTCATTGGATGAGGGCCACCTGCCCCCAGGGTGACCTCGTCTCACCTGGATGGCACCTGCAAAGTGCAGACTCCACCCCCCACCCCCCCAGTTACACAGGATACATCTCCAGCATGAGCTACTCTGGGTACTCAGGGCTCTGTGTGTGTTCATGGGGGGACACTTGGGGGGCTGCAGCTGCTAAGAGGCTGAGAACAGCTGACCAGCTAGCGGGCAGCCCCCATCCAGCTGCCATCTGGTTGGACCCTCCCCACCCACACCCCACCTTGACCCCCAGGGTCTGGGCTGCAGCCAAGCAGAGTGGAGGGAGGAATACGGGGTGGCGGGGCCAGTAGGCTCCATGCCACATGCCACCTGGCCTCCCACCCCCACCGCCTGCACTCACTCCTGCCTCAGGGCCTTTGCACTGGCTGTTGCCCCAGCCTGGAACCCCCTTCCCCAGACACAGCGGGCACTTTCCTGATCATCCTCTGGGTCTGCATTAGCTGCCTGTGGCCATCATGACAAAACACCACCAACGGAGTGGCTTAAAACAACAGAAACCTATCCTCTCCCGGTTCTGGAGGACGGAAGTCTGAAATCGGGGTGTTACAGGTCCACGTCCCCTCCGAAGCCTCCAGGGAGTATCCTCTCTATCTCTTCCAGCTTTTGGTGGCTCCGCACAATCCTTGGCGTTCCTGGCTTATAGACACATGAGGTCAGTCCCTGCCTCTGTCTTCACGTGGCTTTGCCCTCTGTGCATCGATGTGCGTGTCCATGTCCCTCTTATCATTAAGGACACCAGTCCCTGGATGTAGGGCCACCCTACTCCGATAGAACCGCATCTTAACTGGTCACATCTGCAGGACCTTGTTTCCAAACGAGGTCCCATTCACAGGTACCAGGGGCTAAGACTCGAACGTGGCTTTTTGGGGGACGCAAGCCAGCCCACTGCAGGGTCTCAGCTCAAACGTCCCCTTTGCCAGTCTGCAGCTGCGCCCCCTTCCACCCTGACCACCCATCCTTCCTTCCAGAGCCTCTCGGGTGCGTCCTGGGGACTTGCTGTCGGTGTGGATTGAGCTCTGATGTTCCCCAAGCAGGTGCCAGGTTTCATGCATACTTCTAGGCTCTGAGGAAGTCGAAGTGATGAAGACCAAAGACCTTGGAGTAGTTTCAATCCACTGGGAGGAGACAGACAGTGAACAGGGTTTTAAGCTATGTCGTAATTTCATGTGGTGGTTGGACCGGTGTAGACACATAAACAGGGAACAGAGGGAGGACAAGATGGGTGGGGGACCCGGGAAGGCCTGTGGAGGTGGCCAGCAAGAATATTTAGAACACTGGTATCCCCACGGGGAGGATGTGAACGAACCCCAGGAGGGCAGGATCTACATCTGCCTTGCTCTTCAGGGTATTCAGAGCCTGGTATACAGTAGGCCCTCACTAAATGTTTTTGGGGGGGCGTTGTACCCCAAAGTTGTACACTGTATTTGTAAAGTTCTTCTCCAGTTCAGTAAATGCTTTCTCTTGCAATTTTTTTATTGACATAAAAATCACATAACACAAAATTTGCCCTTTTAAAGTGTACATTTCGGTGGCTTTTAGTAACCATCAGCACTATCTAGTTCCAGAACATTCGGTCACCTCAAAAGCAACCCCGTCCCCATCAGCTGTCCCCTCCCCTTCCCCCCCCAGCCCCCGGGCCCCCGCGAGCCCCCTTCCCGTCCGCGGAGGAGCCCGTTCCGGACGTGTCACCCACGTGGACTCACACCCCGCGTGGCCTTCCGTGTCCGGGTCCCTCCCTGAGCGCCGTGGGCTCGGGGTCCGTCCCGGGGCCGCACGTGTGGACACCTCGCTCCCGCGCGCGGCCGAGGCACGCTCCCGTGCGTGGGGGACACGCTGTGGGTATCCGTTCGCCGGCTGATGCCCGCGTGAGCAGGTGCCGCTTCCTGGCCCTTAGGAGCGCTGCTGCTGCGAACGTCTTGTGCAGGCGTGTGCTCAGTTCTCCGGGGCGCGGGGCCCGCCGTGGACAGACGCCTCCGGCGCGCCCCGCGTGCTAATGCCTCCCCCGCCCGCAGGTGCCCGCGAGGATGGTGGCGCGGCCCTAGGCCCAGGCTCCGCACCATGACCTGCTGGCTGTGCGTCCTGAGCCTGCAGCTCCTGCTCCTGCCCGCCGCCCCGCCCCCGGCCGGCGGCTGCCCGGCCCGCTGCGAGTGCACGGTGCAGACGCGCGCCGTGGCCTGTGCCCGGCGCCGGCTGACGGCCGTGCCCGACGGCATCCCGGCCGAGACGCGCCTGCTGGAGCTCAGCCGCAACCGCATCCGCTGCCTGAACCCGGGCGACCTGGCCGCGCTGCCGCTGCTGGAGGAACTGGACCTGAGCGAGAACGTGATCGCGCACGTGGAGCCGGGCGCCTTCGCCAACCTGCCGCGCCTGCGCGTCCTGCGCCTGCGCGGGAACCTGCTCAAGCTCATCCCGCCCGGGGTCTTCACGCGCCTGGACAACCTCACGCTGCTGGACCTGAGCGAGAACAAGCTGGTCATCCTCCTGGACTACACCTTCCAGGACCTGCGCAGCCTCCGCCAGCTGGAGGTGGGCGACAACCACCTGGTGTTCATCTCGCGCCGGGCCTTCGCGGGGCTGCTGGCCCTCGAGGAGCTGACCCTCGAGCGCTGCAACCTCACGGCGCTGTCGGGAGAGTCTCTGGGCCACCTGCGGGGCCTGGGCGCCCTGCGGCTGCGGCACCTGGCCATCGCCGCCCTGGAGGACCAGAATTTCCGGAGGCTCCCGGGCCTGCTGCACCTGGAGATCGACGACTGGCCGCTGCTGGAGGAGGTGGCCGCCGGCAGCCTGCAGGGTCTCAACCTGACCTCGCTGTCCGTCACGCACACCAACATCACCGCCGTGCCGGCAGCCGCGCTCCGCCACCAGGCCCACCTCACCTGCCTCAACCTGTCCCACAACCCCATCAGCACGGTGCCGCGCGGCTCCTTCCGCGACCTGGTCCGCCTGCGCGAGCTGCACCTGGCCGGCGCCCTGCTGGCCGTGGTGGAGCCGCAGGCCTTCCTGGGGCTGCGGCAGATCCGCCTGCTCAACCTCTCCAACAACCTGCTGTCCACGCTGGAGGAGAGCACCTTCCACTCGGTCAACACGCTGGAGACGCTGCGCGTGGACGGGAACCCGCTGGCCTGCGACTGCCGCCTGCTCTGGATCGTGCAGCGCCGGAAGACCCTCAACTTCGACGGGCGGCTGCCGGCCTGCGCCACCCCGGCCGAGGTCCGCGGCGACGCGCTGCGCACCCTGCCCGACTCGGTGCTCTTCGAGTACTTCGTGTGTCGCAAGCCCAAGATCCGCGAGCGGCGGCTGCAGCGCGTCTCGGCCGCGGCGGGCGACGACGTGCGCCTCCAGTGCCGCGCCGAGGGCGAGCCGGCGCCCACCGTGGCCTGGGTGACGCCCCGGCACCGCGCCGTGCCCGCCGCCGGCGCGGGGCGCGCGCGCGTGCTGCCCGGGGGCACGCTGGAGATCCGGGGCGCGCGCCCGCAGGACAGCGGCGCGTACACGTGCGTGGCCAGCAACGCGGGCGGCAACGACACGTACTTCGCCACGCTGACCGTGCAGCCCGAGCCGGCCGCCGACCGCAGCGCGAGCGAGGGCCGCAACGAGACGCAGGCGGCCGCCCGCTTCCCGCTGGACCTCACCACCATCCTGGTGTCCACCGCCATGGGCTGCATCACCTTCCTGGGCGTCGTCCTCTTCTGCTTCCTGCTGCTCTTCGTGTGGAGCCGCGGCCGCGGGCAGCACAAAAGCAGTTTCTCGGTGGAGTACTCCTTCCGCAAGGTGGACGGGCCGGCCGCGGCCGCCGGGCAGGGCGGCGCCCGCAAGTTCACCATGAAGATGATCTGACGGCGCGGGCCCAGCGCCCGCCGCCCGCCCGCCCGCCCGCCCGACGACCACCTATGCATTTCCCGACGCGGCCCCGCGGCCGCCTCCCGGCAGAACTGCCCCCTTTTTTGGTAGAGACACGACCACAGGACTGTTTTTTCATCAGGACTCACGTTTTGCATAGTTTCTCAAGCATTTTCTAAAGGTTTCACCCTGTCTTCCTGCCCCTGCTGTGGTCCCTGAGCTGGGGGGGCGGGGGGGGGGCGGAGCTCGGAGACCCCAGAGCCCTCACTGTGGGTGGTTCACACCCCAGGGCGGGGCAGGGGGGGTGGCACACACAGCAGCTGCCCCAGGGTCCCCCAACACCTCTCACACCTTAAGGGACGATCGCCCACATCCAGGACGTGGGGGGCTGCCCAGCCCCCAGGGGAGGCACACCTGGACGCCCCACACCTCTCATCAAGCACACAGGTGTTCAACCCAGGACACACTCTTGGACACACAGCTCCAAAACAGGACGCACACACACCTCTACCCAGCTGACCATAAACAGGTGCCCCAGGCTGCAGAGCCCACCTCGGGCACACAGGGCTCTCGTGAGAGCACAACGCACACCTGGGACATACCCTACTCACACTCAGGACACACCCAGCTCACACCTGGGACACACACATACCACACTTGAGACACACACAGCTCCCAGCCAGGACATGCTCAGCTCACACCCAAACACGCAGTTCACACTCGAGACACACACAGCTTAGACCCAGCTGACGCTAAACGTGTGCCCCAGGCTGCAGAGCCCGCTGTGGGGACCCAGGGCTCTCCTGAGAGCCCAACTCACGCCTGGGACAAACAGCTCACACTTGGGACGTGCACAGATCATGCCTGAGACACACTCAGCTCCCACCCAGCTCCTGCTCAGCTGGCCGTCTCTGGGGGAACCTCTGGGGCTGCACTAAGGTCTTGCAGAGCAGGTACTGCCCAGCACACGGCATGCTAGCCCATGCCCCTGCCCCCAGACTCTCCCCCACGCCAGGACTCACTGGCCCAGCAGGGCGGGCTGCCCACTAGGAGAAGCCATCTCCCCCGCTTCCTCTGCCACCACCAATAGCTACCGTTTGCTTCCTCTGCCCACGCCCCTGGGACCCGCTGCACATGTGGAGAATGAGGCCTGAGAGTGTGGCAGGTTCTCGGGGTCCCCGTTCAGTGCATTACAGGGGCAACAATGGAGAACAAGGCCAGGACAGGGTGCAGGCTGCAGGGGGATCTGGACCTGCGTTCTTGGGAGAAGATGGTAGGCACACCTCGGTCTCTGCCGCTTTGGGGCAGAGCTAGGGCTGGGGAGTAAGGGAGCACAGGCGGACGGAAGCTAAGGTTAAGAAAGAACTTCCCCATCAAAAACTAATGATTGTGGTGATTAACATAACAATAAAAATTTTTTTTAAAAAGGAAGAACTTGGGCGCCTGGGTGGCTCAGTTGGTTAAACGACTGCCTTCGGCTCAGGTCATGATCCTGGAGTCCCGGGATCGAGTCCCGCATCGGGCTCCCTGCTCGGCAGGGAGCCTGCTTCTCCCTCTGACCCTCCCCCCTCTCATGTGCTCTCTGTCTCTCTCATTCTCTCTGTCTCAAATAAATAAATAAATAAATAAAATCTTTAAAAATAATAATAATAAAATAAAAAAAATAAAAAGGAAGAACTTCCCCAAGGTCACTGCCCTGTGACTCTTCAGATAGTGAGTGAGTTCCCCATCACTGGGGGTAAGCAACAGGAGCTGACGTTTTACAGAAGTCTTCAGACACCACACAGCATCCATCCATGACCCTGCCTCTCCCAGGCGGTTTATTGCCCCCACCCTCCACCTGGGCCAGATGACAGGGCGTCGTTGGAGGAAGGGGCACAGGAAACGTGGTGGGACCCCTAGACCAGAGAGGAGCTTGGCCACCCACCAGGCAGTTACGACAGTATTCTTAAGGACCTTGTAGGAAGGCTGAAAACCAGGTCTGTTCCTGCCCAGGTGTGCAGTTATAGCTGATGACTGAGTACCACCTGGACCACTGGGGTCCTCGTCTGTAGCGTAGGTCTGAGGTCAAATCCACCGCTGCATGTATATATGAGGCCAAGTCCATGGACGGGCTTGATGGTTGACCTGGATCCCGGATCCTTCAAGACCTTTCTGAGATGAGCCCGAGAGAAGGCTGGGCCAACCCTGGAGGTTTTGAGCACAGGATTCAGACAGAACTCTGAAGGGGGTGCCAGCCCTTCTCCCCGGACTGTGTGGCTGGAAACGTCGGGAGGCCCTGGTCCTGCTCCCACCTGCTTCAACGCCACTCGGGGTGAGGCATAGCGACAGCCGAAGGGGTGTCCTGCGACCCCAAACTCCACCCGAGTTGGGCAGAACCGAATGGTTTTCTCCCTTCACATCCTCCTGACCTTGGTTGCCATAACAACCCCTAAGGCCCCTCAAAATGACATCCAAGTGCCTTTAGCATCATCAACGATGGGAGGGGTGTGTTCTCAGCAGCGTCAGGACTCGCAGAACGGCAGCGTATTGGGATCTCCCGCCCCCTCTGCTCACCCCCCATCCCAACATGAACCAAGACCCCCTCCAGCGCCCCCAGCCCCCTCCTGTTGTATTTGGTTGGAATCCAATAAAAATGAAGCTGATTTAATAACGGACTTAAGGGTTGTTGGTTTTTTTGTTTTTGTAATTCTCATGGGAGGAATGGGGGCAGGAAGGAGTGGCTGCTGGGGTCCCCAGGGGGAGCCGTCTGGTTCCAGCCCCGAAGCTGGCCCTGTGTCACGGGGCGCTTGTGGAGACAGAAGGACTTGCGGTGATGACATTACAGGTCTTGCTTCGGGAGCACCCATGCTGTTCCCGGTGCTGTTCCCCAGCTGCCGGTATTAACTCCTTTGGGGCAGGTAAGAGCCCTGAGAGCTGGGTCCTTTTAGGATCTCACTTTACAGATGGGCCAAGGGGAAGTCAGGGGGTGGAGGGCATTTGCCCAGAGTCCCCAGCTGGGGGAAGAAGGGGTGCTCCCCGCTGTGCTTCCTCCCTCCAGGCTGGGGGGTCTCCCCTCTTCTGAGTGGGTACCAGCAGTCTCTGCTTCTGGGGGCTCGGAAAAAAAGCAGGCAGCTTAAAAAAAAAAAGATTTATTTGTTTGTTTATTTGTTATTTGAATCATCTCTACCCCCAACGTGGGGCTTGAACTCACAACCCCAAGATCAAGAGTCACATGCTCTTCTGACTGAGCCGGCCGGGGGCCCCCTAAGAGCAGGCAGCTTTTAGGGGCCCCTGGGTGGCTCAGTGGGCTGAGCCTCCGACTCTTGGTTGCGGCTCCGGTTGTGATCGCAGGGTCGTGGGATCGAGCCCCATGTCGGGCTCCCTGCTCAGCGCAGAGTCGGCTTGGGATTCTCTCTCTCCCGGAGTCTCCCTCTGGCCCTCCCTTACTCAGGGGCACGCACTCTCTCTCTCAGCTTTTAAACAAAGCACTTTGTCCGCCCTTCCTGGAAGGAGGTAGGTGGAGTCAGAGCGGTCAGCAGACCCCAGCCCCGGGCAAGGTGGCCAAGGGTGGCGTCTCCCGTGCTGCTCAGCGCCTCTCTGCGGGCCTCGGGGTCCCCGTCTGAAGAGTGTCCTTTCCCGCCCTGCAGGAGACAGCAGTGGGACGGGGACGTGTCCGGCTGTGGGGTGACCCCTCCGTGCCTGATTTCAAAGAAGCCGCCAGGCGAGGATGCCGGCCTCGGGCAAGGGTGCCGGCCCGGGGAGCCTCCTTCCCCTGGTCCTCCCACAGCAAAGGGAGGAGAAACCCGCCCCTCGGCAGGGGCTGCCCGGCTCCCTGGTTCCAACCGGGAGCGAAACCCAGGATTTCCTGAGTCCCGTCTCGGTCTTGGGGTGAGGCTGAGGGGTCCTCCTTCCAAGGCCCAGCTGAACAGGGACCCAAACCAAGGAGGGGCCGCTCTCAGGGTGTCTGTGGGGTCCCCCCGGAACACAGGACAGCACGCCTGGGCCCGGGAGGAGGGCGCTGAATATCCCTGCCTTGACTTACCCTCCCAGATGGAGCTGGAATGGTGTGCAGCTTCCTCCAGGGCACCCACAGTCCTCGCGTCTCTGAGCCCCATCTTCCCGGCACAGACTCTCTCTTCCAGGCCCTTCCAGGCAGTGCCCCCCCCCCGAGACCCCGAGCCGTGCACAGGGACGCCCCATAACGAAACTGAAATTTATTAGTTGACAGTTCTGGAGCTCAAAAGTCTAAAATGTGTCAGCAGGGCTGGTCCCCCCCGGGGCCCCTGGGAGACCTGGCTCCTGCCTTTTCCTGGCCCGCAGACCCCCCTCCATCCTCATCCCCAGCAGCGCGGGGTCTGCCCATCTCCGGGACTCCCACCCTCTGCCTCCCCCTCGTGAGGGCCTCGTGAGGACGCCGGGCCCCCCAGAACCCAGGGTCACCCTCACCTCATCTCATTAGCAGCCTCAGTTTCCCCCACATAACAGGTTCATAGGCCCTGGACATGGACACCTTTGGGGCCCATAACTCTGCCCACCACAAAGACCTCTGGGAGCGCTCCGAGGAGAGGCCAGCCTGAGGCAGGCAGGGGATCCCCGTGCAACACCCCCCTCCAGGCCACCCTGACCCATCCCAGGCGCAAAAGTCCCTGGAGATGTCACCCCGGGTCCCAGCCTGGCCCGCCTGCTCACCCCCACCCCCCCACCCCCCCTTGGCCACGTCGCTGCCATGGCAGGGCGGGGCCCAGCTGGGGCGAGCGAGGCCCTCCCCTCAGGCACAAAATTGAAGGGGAAGCCCAGAACTCAGTCATCAAAATCAACATCCCACAAACAAAATGAATTCATGTCCCAGATCCACAATGAACAATAATCCATCTCTTACATAAAAATAGGATCTGCCCCGGCAAGACCCTGCCTGGCCCTGTTTCTAATAAAACACCATTTGCTGAAACAGCTGGGTGGCCCACCGCCCTGGGAAGCCAACTAGGTTTCTTAAGTCTCACATGGAAATGTTCTTTATCTCGATCACAGAGTGGGGTTTTTTTGGCCGCATCTTACATTCTGTGCCCGAGGTGGGTGCCTGGCAAGCTGTCCCCCCAATCGCGGGTCGGAGCCAGGAGCTCGATGGGGGGTCCCACGGGTCTCATGACGGGCAGAGCAAGGCTGGTGCTCAGAAAGGTATGGGCAGCGAGGAGGCATGTCTGGTCCCACCAGGGACGGCCCCGGATTTGTGGAATCCGTCCCTCGGGCTCGTCTCGGAGCCCACAGCCTCCCCCCACCCTCCCTTCCATCGTGAGGTTCACAGGGCGCCCCACTGACGACAGACGGAGCGTCAATTCTATCGCTCTCCGTCTGAGTGTGGGGAAAAGGGAAAATATAGGGTCAAGTTACAGAACCTCACGCTGGAAATGCCTCGAGCTCAGCCGGTCAATTTTTCCCCAAATGTGGCAGGGGACCCGTGTGGAAGATGTTCACCAAGTGGCTTAACCGCTTCCCCACACCCAGGGCCTTGGGTAGGATGGGACACCCAGCAACGACCCCGGGGACCTATCACTGTGCCCCGACCGGCCGTATGACCCCACAACGATTCCCTACCCTCTCTGGGCTCACTGTCCCGGAGGGAAACGGCAGGGGGCAGGGAGAGAAATCCAGCCCCAAATACGCTCCAGCCACAATGCGAAAAGGCCGTTGCAACCTTCACGTGGGGGAGAAGCTGCACTCCGAGCTGGGGCGCCTTCACGCCCACGGCCCGGCCGGGCAAGTCTCCAGCCCAAGGACACTACAGTTTCAGCATCTGGTCCCCTGGATTTTCACCTCTCTTGCTTTTCCACGTGTGGCAATCATAGACCAACCGTCCCAGAGCTCAGGCAGGCGCTTGCTCCTGAGGCCCCACCCAGGGTCCCCGGTGGGCGGGCAGCGGGCAGGGGGCGCCGGGGGCTTCTCAGCGCGAAAGCCACAGAGGAAAGAGCCGCCCTGGGGCCATTTCTCTGCCCAGTGGCTGGGGCCCCCTGCCCTCGCCGCCCCCTCGTGCGAGCTCTGGGACCATCACCCCTGTCCCCCTCTTGGCCCAGGCCCCTCCCTCTGCCTGGAATGCCCTTCCCATCTCTGCGGGCAGGCGGGGAGCGCGGCCTGGGGAAGTGATGCACAGAGCACCCCCTCCCTGCGGTCTGACAGTTGCACAGAGCTTCCGGGTGGCCACAGGCCACAGGTCAGCCTGGCGGGCCAGGGGCAGCAGCGCCCCGGAGCTTCACCCACGGCCGCCCCGCCCCTGCCGCCGGTCACTCCAGTCCTGCAGGTAGGGGCTGCCAGAGGGGTGTGGGGGGGCGGGGGGCGGGCAGAAGCAGCACCTCGCGGAGGTCGGAGTGAAGGGGGGTCTGGGTGGGGCCGGGGCCCAGGCTGCCGAGCTCTGGGAAGGAGGACCCCCACCCTGCGCGGGTCCCGGGTGCTATCGTCGGCCCCCAGCTGACCCCCCACCCCGGCCCACCCTCACAGCTGAACGTCCTATTCAGTCCTTGTCACAAAAGCACAGTGTCCTTCCCACTGTCCTGGAAAGTTGAGGAGTGATGTTCCTGCCTCACCCACGAGGAGAGGAGCCCAGAGAGGGCGACACACCGTCCCAGGGCCACCAGCAGGTCAAGCCGGGCAAGAAGACCGGGACTGCCCCACTCTTGCCTAGCTCCCCGCACCCCCACGCACACCATCGGAGCCCCCCGCGTGCCCACCCCCGCGTGCCCCCAACTCTGACCTCCCCCCTGCAGCATGAGCGGCCCTGAACCACCCAGTGAGACCTCTGGGCCTGACGCCCCCACCTGGCCGACTCAGCCCACCTACAGCAACCTCGGTGAGCCCCCCGGGGCGGCAGGGGCGGGTGGCCGAGCTGAAGGGCTGAGGCTCCCTCTGCCTGAGGGCAGCTTAGCTCGCTTACAGGGACCAGGTCATGGCCCTCCATAAAACTCTGCTGAGAAAGGAAAAAAGCTGGGATCATCAGCTTGCGAACATGGGTGTGGGGCCATTTGGCCAGAGCCACGCGGGGACACGGGGTCACCTGGCGTGGGCTGGACACCTCTCTGCCACCGATGCGTCCCTCCTCCGTAAACTGGGGGTGGCACCGTACCCCACGGGGCCATTCTCATTCTGCAGATGGGGCAGTGGTGGCCGAGGGGCCCGAACTCCGCACGTCCTCACCCCCTTCCCCGCTCCCCCGCTCAGGTGAGGTCCGCGGCCAACTGCTGCCCTCCAAGGCCTGCTGCCCCCGGACATCCGGGCGCCCCCCGACTGACTCACGGCCCCTGCCCCCACCCCTGCCCAAGAAGACCCTGACCAGGACCCAGTCCCTGCCCACCCACAGGGCCCGCAGCTCCAGCCCCGCTCCCGCGGGGCAGCCTCGGAGGCCCTTTCTGGGGTCCCACAGTGTGGACGAGAGCCAGGCAGGCAACGACCGGCCTTGGGCCTCCTGTCCCCCGGCGGAGCCGCACTTCCACTCGCTCAACAGCCCGCTGGGCCTCGCCTGGCCCGTCCTGCACTGCCCCGAGGCCATGCGCACCATGCTGGAGGCCCGGCAGCTGGAGGGGCTCCGTACCGTGCATGCCCGGCTCCAGGCCCGGCTGCTGGGGGGCCGCCCGGGCCCCTGCCAGCCCGGCCACGACTTCCGCCTCCTGGACAGCTCGCCGTGCGTGGAGAGCGGAGACGCCCTCTACTACCGCCTGGTGCGGGTGGTTGGCGAGGCATGGCACATGCTTGCTGCCAAGGTGAGCCCCGCCACCGCCCCCCTCCTTGGAACTTTCCCCAATGTCCCATCTTGGGCGTAAGCCAGAACGCGTACAGCTTGGGCTCCCCACTTACTCTGCAACTAACACGCACTAACACAGTCAGCCCTGGGAACCCCGTTTCTCAGGTGTGGGGCCACGGGCACGCGAATCGCCTGGGCCTCCCGGGAGCCCAGGAGTCTGCATTTTAACCCAGTCTCCTGCGAAAGCCGCTGAGTTCGCCAGCCACGTTAATGGTAATAATCAGTCACCGTCAAAACGTCTGGAGCGTTTCTGGGCGCCCTAAAGCCGTTCCATTCTAAGGACCCCAAGACACCCTTACCCACCGAATCTTCATGCATCTATCACCACATTTGTCATAAGATCCTTCCGTTTTTATGCGCCACTCAGGAAAAAAAAAAAAAATCCCTGTTAAGCCACCCCGCGTCAGATGCATCACCGTTTTGGAGGACCCTAGCAATTAGACCACCCGGGCTGGGGAGGCCGTCCCTTTCACCCCCTGGAGCATGGAGGGAGAACGGTGTTGCTGGCCGCGTGGGTAGTGGGCAGTTGGATCCTGGCTCCTGCGCGGAGGCCCTGGTGTAGTTTTTAAAACACGCCCCCCCCCCCCCCCCGCCGTGATTCTAATGTAATTCCCAGAGCTGGTGCTCCCCTGACCTCGAAAGAGCTTTGCGGTCCGGTATTGCGACCGCTGGCTAGTGGGACTTCTGAGCCCCTGAACCGGGGCTGGTCCCCACTGAGTGTCCGCTATGCACCAGATCTCCAAGACTCAGGATCAAAAATTAACCATAATGCAAAATACCTCTTTAGTAGCTTTGACGTTCACGACTGTTGCGTGATAACATTTTGGATATGTCGGGTCAAATAAAACAGCGTATGGGATTTATGTTCACGTTTCTTACCATGTTTAGAACGTGGCTACTGGAAACGTTGAATTATACCGTGGCCTCAGTCCCGGCCTTGGCATCTGTGCTGCCCCCTTCCTCGTGCCTCTGGCAGGCTGCAGTTTGACCCCTAAACACCAGGGTCCTTAGCGGAGCTTTCCCTAAAATCATGCTGGCGACACACATCCCAATTAACATGTAACTCCTGCTTCTGGAGGCGGGTTGGCCCGCTCCCCCCTCCCAAACCGCCGTGGGGGTGGGCGGGAAGGCTTCCGCGGTCAGGCCCCTGATGGCCCCCCTTTGCCCCTCAGGTGCCCAAGCCGGGAGCTGAGGAGCCCCATCCGTGGGGCCTGGAGCTGCAGGCCTCGCTGGCCCCGCACTTCAACCTGCAGGGGCTGTGCGGCCTGGTGCCCGAGGGCGCGCTGCCCGGTGTGCCCTGGAGAGGCCCCGTGGTGCTGACGGCCGAGGTGCCCGAGTGCACGGTGACCCAGTGGCTGTCAGAGGTGGGCAGGCGGCCGCGGCCCGCGGAGTTCCCCTGGGTCGTGGCCCTGCTGCTGCTGCAGCTGAGTTCAGCCCTGGAGCACCTGGAGGCGCGGGGCGCGGCCCTGGCGGAGCTCCGGCCCGAGAACCTGCTGCTGACGGCGCCTCGGGGCTGTGCAGCGGCCGGGCCCCCACGCCTGCTGCTGGCCGACTTTGGCCGCGTCCACCCACGGCCCCCGGGACCCCCCGGCGCCCACGCGCAGCAGCTGAGCCGCCTGCTCCGCGCCCTACTCGGCCCTGCTGCGCCCTTGGCCACGCCCCTGGCCGCAGGCCTGGAAACCCTGGCGCGGCAGCTGCCCCGCTCGCGGCCCTCGGCGGCCCAGACGCGGGCTGCGCTGCAGACGCTGCTCTGGGGGCCTGGGCCTGAGCTGCACCGCCAAGGAGCCCCGCTGGGGCCCTGGCTGCAGGTGGGCCGCGCGCTGCTCGTCCTGCACCTGGCCGAGCGGGCCGCGGCTGGGGAGGTGCCGGGCCTGGAGGACTGGCTGTGCTGTGAATACCTGGCTGAGGCCACGGAGGCCTCCCTGGGCCACGCCCTGGCACTGCTGTGGGACTGACGCCTCCCAAGGGCCTCGCCGAGAGGTCGGCACCCTCCCCAGACCTGGGGCCAGAAGGCCCGCGGAGGTTGCCTCCATGATGGAGGGGACACCCTCTTCCAGAAAGGGCAGGAGGCCAGGGGAGAGTGCGGGACTGTGGACACCTCCTCTCCAATGCACCCCCCTTCTACTCCGGGGACTTAGGCCCAAGTCCTTCCCAGGAAGGCCGGGGGCTGGGGGCTAGTGGCCAGTGCCTCCTGAGGCTTTCTGAGGCCAGGACGGCCCAGCCCTCTTCCAGGTGTGGGCACTCCCTGTCAGCCAAGGTCTGTGTGAGTGTGGGACCCCTCCCCCCACCTCCCAGAAGAGAGGCTCTGCCCTTCTAGTGCTGGAGTGTGAGGGTCACGGTCTCGCTGAGAAGGGGACACTGTCCTCCATCTCTGGCCCTGGAGCACCCCCTTGTGCTGAGGATGGCCAGCGATTGTGTGAATGTCCTCGTCTAGACCTGCTTGGGGTCTCCAGGGGGAGGGGAAGCTCCTAGAACCTGAGACACCCAGCCCACCCAGCACAGCCCGCCCCAGAGTCCGAGCTCACCTGCCCTGGCGTCCCCATGGTGTCGCCGTGCCCTCCACCTCCCCCACTCTCTCCACCCAGCATGGTCTCCGCACTCTTCCTCTGTGAAATTCAATTCTGTGCAGCCGCCACGCTTCTGCATGGGCTGTTCCCTCGCCGGACTGTCCGAATCTCACCTCCACTAAGCAAATAAAGTTGCCCCTCCTGGGCCCACTGTTGCTCCTCCCCGTGCCTCCCCCCGGAGCACTGATCACCACCTGCAAGTATTTATCTCACGGCCTGCCACCTGACCACTTCATCCACCAGGCTGAGTTCCCTGTGGGCAGAAGCCAGGCTGAATACACAGTGGGTGTTTAATCTCATAGGATGATGGAATCAACTGGCAAGGGAGACTCATCAGGGAACCTAAGGGAGAGAACAGGGTTTCAGTTTACGCCTCTGAAAAATGGGACACACAAGCCCTGAGGGGCCCTGCTGCCCTTACCTCTGGGGCCTCCAGTCATGCCCCCTCACTTCCCCTCCCCCACCATGGCTCCCCCAGGTATGACCAGGTTCCTCTCCTGCTCAAACCTCTCCCATGGCTCCTCAGTACCCTCAGAATACAGTGGGGCTCCTCCAAAGCCACCACAAGCTCTCTCTGGCCAACCCCTCCTGCCACATTGCCTACCCAAGGAGCTTTCTGACCTCCAGAACTTGCCCAGGTTATTTCTTGCTCTGGATCACTCTCCCCTCTCTACTTGTCTGCTTCAGACTCCTATTCATCCTTCAACACCCCAACTCCAAAGCCCTTTGCCCACCCTTGCACTCCCCCCAGACTGGAGTGTTGTCCAACTGTCCCTTCAGAACTTTGAAGGCCAGCTCCACCCTCAGGTAACTGAACATCCTACCCCAGCCCCAGATATATTCCAATCCCTGCAAGTACCTTTCCTGCTCCATAAAAGATGCCCCCTTTTCCAGCCTCTCTCTCAGCTAAGGCCTGGATGTGCATCTCTGGGGCCATGCTCCCAGATGCGGCCAGCAGGTGGCGTGGCAGTCCTCCCGAACCATAACCACCCCCTCCCTGCCGACCTTCGGGCCCCCCGCCCCGCATCCCTGCTGTGACCCCCGCCGCCAGAGCGCTCCTGTCCCAGCATAGCCCTGCAAGGCCCTCCGCAGGGGCTACTGGTGTCCACAGGGTCCACACAGCTGCTAAGGTGGGGGCCCAAGTTCAGACGCACCCCCACACCTCAAGTCCCAGGTTGCCCTGGCCACACCCCACACATCAGCAGGAAGCAGAAGTGAAACCGTTCAGGGCAAGTAGGAACTCAGCCAGCGGGCAGCCGTGGCCACCCCAGATAAGAGTGCCAGGCCAGGGCAGGGGTGGGGTGGGGCAGCCTGCCACCCAGAGCCTCCTAAGGCTGCTGTGAAGGACGGTGAAAACGTGAGGTCCAGAGGCGCCCGGAGCCCCGGGGCCTGGCCTCGCATCAGACCCCACGGGAACGGGGCCGTGGCCAGGGGAGAGGCGGTCCCCTCCCGCGGAAGGGGGTCACACAGCTCAGGGCAGGTGCACACCCCCTGCCCCAAGCCCTCCAGTCCCGGGGTGGCAGGTGGGGGACAGTGGCCGGGGGAACACCACTGAGCCAACACAGGTCTTTGGAGGTGTCATCACTTTTATTCAGATTTTTCAGAGCACTAGAAGGGTAGATTAACACCTATCCAAGATAAGAGACCTAAGATTTCCAAGAGCCTTCAAATGAGAAACTCCTCCTCCAAATACAGGGACAATCGGAATCATCTTAAACCAGCAATAAAAAAGTAAAATATAAACTTTTATTTAGAATTAAAGCAAATACTTCAGTATCACAAACACAATATTAAACTTCAAGAAATATACCGCTAATTTGGAGTGAGCGTTTATTTGCACAATTACAACATGCGGACAAACCCAGCCGAGAGGAGCAGGCCTGACGTCTGCCCCCCGAGCAGCAGTCGGTCCCGCCACCGCACTAAGCGCAACACACGCACACGGACTGCGATCCAGGGCTCCGGCGGCGGCAAAGCGCGAGGGACGCAGGTGGCCCCGCCACTACTCCTCCTCACCCGCAGACTCTCTCTCAAACGTGTAGGCCATGAAGCAAGCGTCGGGTCTCTTGGGGACAAGGGGATGCCCCGGTCTCACAATCTCAAAGCCCAAAAAGCTGAAGGTCCGGAGCAAGGCGGCTGCGGGGGAAACGGAGTCAGGGCCGCTGCCGGGGCTCGGCAGTGCCGGCAGGTGAGCGGGGCCCCAGGCGCCCCGCGGCTCCACCACCCAGGAGCGCGCCCGGAGTCCCCTACCTCTGTCGTCGCGGTTCTTGTGGAAGCAAATGAAGACGTGGGCGGCGTGGAGCTGCTCCTCCGCGAACTCAAGCAGCACTGCGAAGCTGAAGGGCCGCCATCAGCCCCGGGAGCACCCCGCATTCAGGGCCGAGCAGCACCCGGTGACCCACGCCCCCGGGGGCGGGGGGGCAGATTCTCCCGAAGACTGCTGGCCCCGCCCCCGGCCCCGCCCCGCCCCCCCGCGGAGGGCCGGGCCCCTCACCTGTCCTTGCTCCCCTCGGGCAGGGCGCCGCCGGGGATCTCGATGTACAGGCTGCAGCCGCTCAGCACCGCCCTCCAGTTAATGTGTTTGGAACCCGTGAGCCTGGTCTGGACGTTCAGAATCCTCGTCTTGCTGTTAGACGTTAGTTCCTCTGTTACATTCAGCCGATTATCCTGCAGGGGGAGAGCGCTCGTCCGCACCCCAGACACCAGCCCCCTCTCACCGCCCGCGGCCCGCCGGCTTCCTCAGCGCGGCCAACACTTGGCAAAACCCAGGGCACCGAAATGACCCCCGCCCCCCGCTCCCCGCCCCATGCTGGGGGGTGCGGGGCCCAGACCCCAGGGGGCACCGGCGCTGGTCCCCGGGGGGCTAAACCAAGCGGTGGAGGCGAGAAGCAGGTGCACACAGGTGCTTCCCCCGCCGCCCCCCGCGGGAGCCGGCAGCAGGCGGTACTTACAGAGTAAAATAAATTAGCTGAAAGATTGTGATCCCTCTGACTATTCCCTCGCCCACCTGGGATCTTCAGGGGTGGGTGAGGGACATCAGGAGCACCACCGAGGCCCTGGACCCAGGTTACTACAGCAGTTAGGAGAGACCCTGGAACTGGAGGAGAAGGGCGCTCAGCGCGCCTGGGAGGCGCCCCCCAGGCCCAGCCGAAGGCCAGGGCGCTCCCGGCGGCCGCCCTCAGCCAGGCTCGTGTTTACACTGCGAGCCGCGGCCACTTCCGCCGGTCAGGGCGGCGGGCCAGCGCTCGGGGCGCCCCCGCCCCGCGGAGCCGTCTCACGCCGGGCGCCGGGCCTGGCCCAACCCGGGCCCTCCGGTCCCCCGCCTGGCTTCCCGCTTTCCGCCCGACCGAGCGGACTTCCCCTTCTCCGCCCGCAGGCCGCGCAGAAAACCCGGCCCCGAGCAGCGCCCCGGGCGGCGCCCCTCCCGCACCCTCCCCGCGGGCCTCGGGGTTGCGTCATCGCGGCAGACGCGGCCCGCGGCCCCGAGGGAGGTTTTCACAATCGGCGCGCTCGGCAGCGCCAGCAGCCATTTGCTGCGCAGTGTCAACAGGCCCCAAGTCGCCTCCATTTTGCACGGCCCGCATCTGGGCGCCCCCGCCCCGCTCGGGACCGCGTCCGCGGGGCGCCCCCGATCTCCACGGCCGGCCGGGGGCGCCGTCGGAGACCCTGCCACCTGCCGCAGGCGCGCGTCGTCGGGAGCCCCGGCCCCGGGGGGCGGGCGCGACCGCCCCCGTCGGGCCGTGCAGCGGAGGCGGCCCGGCCGCGTCTACGTGGCGCCCTGCGCTCCGCGCGTCCTCGGGGGCCCCGGCGGGGGATCCCGGGACGCCGCGTCGCGGGGACCCCCACTCGGTGGCGCTGCTCCGCCCCGCGGTCCCCGAAGCGCCGCCGGAAGGGGTGGCCGCCCGCCCCGCCCCCGGCGCGATCGTGGCCTCGACAAAGAGGCGGACCTCGCGCTCCCGCGACCTCCGTGGCGCCCCGCGGCCGGCTCCCCACGGGCCTGCGCGGCGGCGCTTCTGGAAGCTTCGGGCGGGGGCGGGGCGCTCACCCCTCGCTGCTGCGGCCTCCGCGGCTGTGCAGGCTGAGGAGCGGCATGGTGCGGGTGGCGTGGACGGTGGCGCTGGGTTTATCCCCCTCCTTCTCTCTGGCGAAGCAGTGGCTGTTGAGGATCCGCTGCAGGGAGGATTTCACCATCCGGCCGCTGGGGTCCGAAACCAGGAAACCTCCGCTGCGCTTCTCCGCGCCGCCGCCGCTGCTCGCCGTTCGCAAAATGGCGCCGCCGCCGCCGCCCGCCTTTATAGGCGCCGCGCCCGGGCCACGCCCCCACGCCGCCGGAGCGCGGCCGCGCGAGGGGGCGGGGCCGCGGGGCCCCCGAGAATTCCAGGCGCGCCCGCCCCTCTCGGCGTTTGATTGGCGGACGGCCGGGGGCGGGGCGGGGCATCCGCAGGTCCCGCCCCCTCCACCGCTCTCGTCTCTGGGCGGGCACGCGGGAGGCGGGGCGCCGTGGCGTCGCGAACGCGGCGCGCGCGCCCCGCCCCCATCAGCCGGGCCTGGGGGCGGGGGCGCCGGGCTCTGCGGCTCTTTCGGGGCGCTGGCGGTGGTGCCGTCTTCGCCGTGGCCGTTGTCGCCCTCGCTAGGGTCCCTGCCCTCAGCGGGGCCCCCTCTCCCGGGAGGCTCGGGGCCACAGAGGCCCCCGTATTCGCGGGCAGGGGTCCCAGAGCCCCCACCCCACGGGGCGGGATTCTTTTCAGTGATAACCTCGGAAGGGTCGGTCCGGCGGTGGTTTTCGGGGTTCGGTCTTGCGTTTCAGAACAGCCGCAGTTAAAGAGAGAACCTTCTGTGCTGAAGATACTCGGATTTAATGAAGTCGTGCGTGTCGCGTCCGGGCTTAGCCAACAGCCCTCCTGCTCCCAGAGAAACTCGGAGCCTTCCCGGGGGGAACGCAGACCCCTCCCCGGTGAGCCCGGACCCCTCCCCGGGTCAACGCGGATCCCTCCCCGGTGAACGCGGACCCCTCCCCGGGTCAACGCGGATCCCTCCCCGGTGAGCCCGGACCCCTCCCCGGGTCAACGCGGATCCCTCCCCGGTGAACGCGGACCCCTCCCCGGGTCAACGCGGATCCCTCCCCGGTGAGCCCGGACCCCTCCCCGGGTCAACGCGGATCCCTCCCCGGTGAACGCGGACCCCTCCCCGGGTCAA